CAGACGAGTTGACGAAATCATTAAGCTTTACTTTCAAACAGCGCAATTCCATGTAATGGCAGGCAACGTGTCGACAATGAGTGACTTGGGACGTTATTTTTCGATTTGTTCTTGTCTCTTACAGAAGTATAGTAACCTAAAGAACGGCAAACATATGGTCTTGTGCTGTGTGAGAATATATACGCCCAACTCAGTAACACCACCCAACAGAGTGTTCCATTAGCCGGGCGCTTCCCAATGGAACACTAATAGTGACCACTCATACACACACAAAAAAAACGGAGTGAATGTCCTATCCCAGTAACACTTCATTACCAGAAACAATGACCTCCTCCAGCAACGTATCATCGTTCTGGGCTGATTGGAAGCTTCATGTAGCAAGCTAAGCGACAGCGGTCGGGTCTAGAAGCCAATTATCCTGGGGCAGCTGCAAATGATGGCCAGCATCGGGTCAACGAATCGTCTTCGTGCGCGATTTGTCGCCGGAAGCCGCGGTATATATAAGACATCTGTCGCGCGCCAGAGCAAACACGGCTCAATCTACGCGAGATTAGATGTTCCAATTACCGCCGCTTTGACCTGATACGCTGGACCTCTGTGTGATTGCTGCGGCCCGTCGTCCGGTGTCACGCAGAAATTTCGCAAAGGTACAGGAAAACAAATCATGCAGTAACATTCTTCCCGACAATGAACATAAATATAGTAACGTAAATGGTCAACTTGAAATAGGTTTTGAAATAATCATAAATAACATCCTATGAACAATGAAGTGAAGACTAAGAAAAACTTAGCTAGTGTAGATTAGCCTCATATACCTTTTTTTTGGGGGGGGGGGGGGGGGGGAAAGACGCGTAAACATTTTTTAGGGAATCGAGCCTCCCGAAAAGAGTATGATTATTCTCGAGAGGAATCTTCTTGTTTATTTAATGAGAGTCATGTTTAATAAGGAAAACACATTTAAAACAGTGTGATGTATGTGTTTTATCTTAGAGCATCTGCTTGCCATTCGACCAAACGAATAGTCAGAAATTGTGTGAATAATTAAGCAAATGAGAAGAGATCTATATTTTACGTACGTTTATGTGTTGTACGTTATAAATATACCTTAAAGCAATCAACCGACCGCCTGTGGGACGCTATAATCGCAGAGCTATCTATATCTTCGTAAAATCGATGCAGCTTTATTTCAAGACACTATAGAATTGCCTACTGCCATCAAAATAACGTCGTTAAGTAACGGAACTCAACGTGACATTCACCGGGTGTTGCCGCAAGCATAAGAGATTGTATGATGTGGTATCGTTACTAGCAATATGTCAATTTATTTGTGTTAAGTAGTAATTATTTATAGTTAAGATGTAATGAAAATACATTTCTTCTGCAATTATTATCGCTCTGTTTCTGGCGTAAATAAAATATAATCTTGGGTTAGAAGTGTAGTCTAAGTGTATTTTTGGTTGTGTAAAACTTGAGGGAAGAAAAGTTCTTTTTAAATGTGCCCGAGGATTCACAGTCCGGGCACACGCATCCGATGTGTCGCAATTCGCTACGAATGAGGCGCCATTTACAGCGCGGGATCGCCTTATTTCATTCCACGATATTTGCACACACTACCGTTTAGAACGATTAACCTTCCCGCCACTCACGCGCAAATCTTCACGCAGGTGCGAAATTCTGTGGCGACAGCTGCAGACTCGCACCTTTCTTTCGCCTTACCTCCTACACCGCATTCATCCATCCTGTTATCCTTCCCCCTCATGTAAATTTTGTGCCTCCTCCACAGCAGACTTGAACCACATCATGTGGCGCTGCCCTAAGCACCCTCTTCCCCCATTCCTGAAACGCCTAATTTCTAGTGAGGAGCAGTGGGAGGCTGCCTTGCGCAGCTCGAGGCCCGCTATCCAGGAGGCCATCCTGGAGTGGGCTGAGAGGGTAGAGGAGGACTACTTCAAGTAGTTCATCCCCACCACACCCTTTCCTGTTGCCCCCTTCCCTTTAACAAGGGATAAATAAAGTTGTTCATTCATTCATTCATTCTTTTTAAATGGTTTGAACAAAGCGGCACATAGGTTGACTTGTTGAGCGTTGAAGTATGTTCAGCAAAGTGATCATATGCAACAGTACACTACTAAGTAAAGCTAAACGATGACAATTTTTGAAGACGATAGTCTTTCTTGGGGACCTTCGACAAAAAAATTTGGGTCTGTGTCTGTCTGTCTGTCCGCCCTAACGATACCTCAAACGGCACCAGACGGCCAACACCTTCCGCAGCGCCCACCAATATTGCTCAAGGCTTATCGTTCATAGTTGTGCGATTGTCAATTAAAAAGCAAATATTGGGCATATCTGAGGCGCCACAACAACGCTTCGATGTTTTCTATGTCTGCCTTTATAGTAGAAGAGGCACACACAAGTAACTCTAAGAAATGTTGCGTTTAATCACGCTGCGCTGACAGTGCAACGCGATGCTCAAAAGGTGTTTCCCACGCTTTGCTACGAAGTCATGGTGGTGGCACCTGCCCGTCGCTTTGCGTTCTACACCTTATCACCTCCGAGACTGGTGCGCATCTTTCTCCGCGGGCTGCACGCCTTCGTTTTCGAAGATAACTGACAGATGGCACTTGTGTATAACGTGCCTAGATGCGCTCGTTCGCCTCCACCATACGCACGAGGCACTCTAACGCAGCGCCTGCAGAATACCATTCACCGATTTTCTTGCGCTGAGCAACAAATAAACGTTTTGTTCACCCTCTCCAGACGCATGACTATCGTCTTTCGATGACATTTACAGTGCAACATGTAGATTCGTGCCATTTTTTTATGAATGTGGTTTACTTTATCCAAAGAATAATATATCTGGCTCTGCTGAAAATGACTCCGCAATACTCTGAAGACTTTATATGGCAGGCTAGTGATTAAGGGTGAGCCGAAGGTCACGGGGTCCAATGCCAGTCGTGACAGCCACGTTTCTATGGAGGCTGTCACGACTGGTTACGTGTGCGTTGAAGTACCTTCGGTGGCGTAAGTTTTCGAGGTCCCACTCTACGGCATCGCTCGTCATCATAAAGCTGTTTCGAAGGATTCGTTTAGAATAACTACTATTGGAATATGTTCGCCGCACGTTCTTATGGCCCGACACTTTCATGAAATTCCAGGAAGCCTCGTGCCTGGGCTCGCACCACATTTCATTTTATTTTGGCAAAATTATATGGACACTAAGCGCAGTTTTGCTGTACTCGTCATGTTCCGTAAATAGTTGCGGAAGCTGCAGATGGCTCAAGCGAAGATGAAAGAAGCCGACTCCATTTAAAAAGTTGGTTTCCTCATTGAAATCGTATGAATGGCTTTTCTTGCGCACCGATTGCCCAAAATATTAAAACTTTACAGCGCTGCAGTGCAAACGCTTTCTCGGCGGAAATTAGCAAACCTCTTCTGCTTTGCATGTGCTGTATTATCAGCGCTCAGTTGGAGTTGAGCTGACAGAAAAGGAACAACCGATCCACTCACTGGAATTTTTTTTCTCTCAGGCCATCCCTTTGTATTCTAATCGAATGAGCTCTTAGCCTAATGTGGCCTAAAATTTAAATATTTTTTGACAGTATATGCAATTATTTGCCCTTGCGGCGAAACCGTGACCTTTATTTTCAATATACACAACAATGGTATATGGACCAGATTCATATTTAGTTTATATCAGCAGGAAAGAACGACGCCAAGCAGAAAAATGAATGCTTCAATTACAAGCAACTTGACCTAACTTTCAAGTGTTGGAAACTTCAACCATGGCACTGAAATGTCTCTTCGAGGACTTTATCTATATCAGCATAAAAACATTTATTATTCAATGTTTGCTCACTCACTGAATTCAGCTTGTTAAGCACAAAAAGAAATGTCACGGACTTTTCTAGACTGATGCATAAACCGAAGACGACTGAAAAGTGAAAGTCACCTTATTCTCCTTCCATCCCCTCTGGTATAGTTTCTGTAACTAACGACGTTTTGCACTGCCTTTGGCATTGGAGGCATTTGAAGATCTAGGAATTTGCAGGATTGGCCAATCTTTGACAAAACGACGGAGTCAGATGATGGGGTCGTTTATGATGTGTTTTGTGACGCCATTATCATAGGTTTTTCGCGCACGTGGGCGGCACGAGGGGTAGCCTACCCCCTAGTAACCTAAGAGGGGGCGAAAAGTCAGTCTCATACTTGGACAAAATAGGTAGGGGGCGTTGCGATGAACGTTCAACTCTGCCCCTCCCTGATAGGAAACCCTGCACAAGCCAATGGTCACTGTGGCTTCACCATGCCATCTTTATTTATGAAGATGAGTGAAGTCGCGATGACACCGCCGCAGAGCTTTTTTGCATTAGTTCATGTTGACGCAGACTCGGAAGGCATTTATCGTATTTGGTGAGGCATCATGGGCTTTCGGCTTAAAACGGAATCTAAGCAGAATTCCTGTGTAGAATTTGGGAATCTTCTTCACTTCCTGCGTTTATTGTGGAGAGTAAAAGCCATTATTTGTTCTCGTGAAAACAAAGCAAGGCATGACGATACTATTGCAATTGACAACAGATATGGCACTGTTTTCTCAAAAGAGTTGACATCTAAAAATAGAGTTGTGTGTTGTGTTCTTGCCTGCGATATAAGCTTGATGTATTTGCGCGAAGTATTCAGCGTCGTTCATTTTTCTGGGGTTTATTCTACACTTACTGAATCGCCAGAGGTCTTTTCCCGCTGTCACTAGACATACTCAAAAGGAAAGACTAGAGGACAAGATGCATGTCTCAAGCTGCACTTCAGAGCACTGGCTCGCTTTCTGAAAGCAGCTCTGAAGTTACAATACCGAGCAGCGTTGTAAAATATTGCAGTGCGGACTTGAAACATAGGAATTTTTTTTTGCAAAACTATCACACGAAAGTGATTATTCTCACTCGAGCTTCATGTCTAAACGTGATGGCGTTTTTTATTTCTTTTTGCTTTTTACAGATGGCGTTCTGAAGAAAAATTTCGGTTGCGCTACCAGAAACTAAGAAATCTGTTCAGCGATGATGCCCATGGTTGCAAGCCTATTGTCAACAGCTACTGCCCACTCTGCGAGTAGAAATACTTCACAATATCTGGCAAACATTTCCGCAATGTCCACGCCAGACCCCAGCATTGCCCTCACAACCACAGTCGCTGTACTAATGCAAAAAACTTTAACTGCATTGCACTCGGGTCCTACCTGCAATGGTAGCGAGCTCTGTGTAGAAGGCGAATCTGCCAACATTTCCAGATCATCGTCCCTGGAACAAGATCGCAACGAGTACGACGACTACGGCGAGATCAGAGTAGTGGAAGAGGTTCTTGCCATCGTCGTGCCCATCCTCTTTGGTGTGATTGCCGTCATAGGATTTTTCGGCAACGCTCTAGTGGTCCTCGTGGTGCTGTGTAACCCTCAGATGAGATCTACCACCAACATTCTCATAATCAATCTCGCTATGGCCGACCTTCTATTCATCGTCTTCTGCGTGCCATTTACGGGCTGGGACTATACACTCAACTACTGGCCGTTCGGCGACACGTGGTGCAGGATCGTGCAGTATCTCGTGATCGTCTGTGCCTACGCGAGCATCTACACACTCGTTCTAATGTCCCTGGACAGGTTCCTGGCCGTCGTTCATCCTATAACGTCCATGACGATAAGAACTGAAAAGAACGCCTACTTAGCCATCTTGTTCACGTGGGTTTTGATCCTCTTGGCGTGCATACCGGCGCTGTACTCTCATGGCATGATCATCGAGGACAACTACTCCTCCTGCACCTTCCGCGTCGACAAGGGTTACAACATAGCCGCTTTCCAGATATCCTTCTTCATGTCTTCCTTCGTCGTTCCCTTGGCGCTGATCTTCGTCCTCTACGTGCTCATGCTGAAACGTCTCTGGCTGGGAGTCACTTCCGGTGGGCGAGTGAGCGCCGAAAGCGTTCGTTCCAAAAAGCGCGTCACCCGGCTGGTCGTGGTGGTGGTGCTGGTGTTCGCCGTGTGCTGGTGTCCCGTACACGTGGTGCTAGTGCTTAAGAGTTTAGACCTTTACGGCCGGCCCATGAACCCACCCCGCATTGTGGTGCAGATAGCGTCACAGGTTCTCGCCTACACAAACTCGTGCGTCAACCCGTTCCTGTACGCTTTCTTGTCGGACAACTTCCGCCGCAGTTTTCGCAAGGCCATCTTTTGCTACAGGAAGGCCTCCGGCAGGAGCGTCGGTGGCACCGGATCCTGTATCGCCCGTACTCGGACGCCCGACGACATCGAGCGGACAGAGAGGGAGACGACGGCCACGTGCATCACGAAAGCGTCCAATATGACTAACGACATTTTGTAGTGGTTCGAAATCATTAGCTTTGCAAGGTAAAGCCATGTACATGTCAGCCATATGAAGTAGCAACTGCTGTTCAATAGTGCACCTCCTCTGGATGGACGATGGCTAGAAGGAATAAGTACAGCATAGCACATCTTGATTCACGCGTATAAACTCAAGTGCTGCTATTCTATTTTTTTAAGCCATCAGAAAACTCGGATAGCGAGTTTTGTGAATCTAGAATCTAGGAAAGGCTGACCTGTGATATGCGTCGACAAGCTTGACTGATTGTAGACTCTGATGCAGTCTGAAAATTCGTTGATTCTTTATAACTGGCTGAGACCATCATTCAGAGTATTAGAGAGAATTTATAATAAAAATATAGGCGATAGCACGCGATACATTGTAAGACACGTTTCCAGCATCTGTATGCGTTCCGAGCACGCTACCTACTTACAGTGCAAACTGAAGCACAAAATCGCGCAAAAACATGAAAACACTGTTTTAGGTGACGCTAATGTAACAATGTTTACGACAGCCAGGAGGGAATTTAATCACTCGCTTCCCAACCAGTAGGTGACTGCCTTTGATTGGCTTGAATGTAAACGCGTTGATATTCAGGCATACAGAATGTACAGTATGGGCTACTGTTAAAGGGAACACTCCAATGCACTCCATTGATATTCCTGGCCCTCTAAGTGGAAGTGAATTAGAAAACAATATTCATTCAAGTCGATAGTCTGTCATGGGTCAGGACTTTCAAACACCTTATGTATAACTAAACCACTACGATTCCGTAAGAAAGCGAAATCTAAACATGCTGCTCACGCAGGTGTTCTCTTAAACAGTGAACCCGTCTGTACATTTCGCCTTCGAGCCCTGCGCAATGATAAGCCTTCGTAATGACGGAATGTGCTTCAGCCAAACACAAAATTAATGTTTTCAGTTCGTGGTGCAAAATAACAAAAGCTTGTTAGAGCGAGCACTTAGTACAGCGCTTCATATTTGAGAAAGTGTACTTCTTGGGAACGGCGGGTGAGAATATTATGTACCAAAAGGCAAACATTTGACAAAATGACACGGCTGCCGACCATTATGAAAACAGGGTTGCTGATAGTCTATATCGTGTATGTATCACGGGTAGTTGTGCGTTCCCTTTGTACATATGCTTCGGACAATTCAAGAAGTCGGCGTACCATTTGTTTAGTTGCTTTCGGACTGTTTCTTTATAGCTAGGCTACATGACCGGCATTGTCGTACAAATGTTGTGTGTTTTACTCGTTATAAGAACGTCATGTACTAAAATTTAATTCCTCTTTCGCTTTTGAATTTCTGAAAAGCCAAAAGTGGCAACTGGCCTCTTGTCCAATTTGTTTAACATGACTATACATTATAAGTGTTATTGACAAAACATCAGCTTGTGCTGTGATGCATATGCGCGTCATTCATGATCGAGGTGACCCTAAGACATGTATTGCCCTCGCGTAGTACGGAAGCCACATCACTGAAGCTTTCTCTTCAGGAGTGATGTGTCACCGTCAGCTGCCTTTTAATTCGAACGCTCGACGTGCACTATTGACGACAGATGTACACAGAGAACTGCCGTGAATATTTCCATCTCGAATTCATATCACTATAGCTATTGTCTTATCCCGCTATCTCACACACATGCCGATGCACTGCGACTAGCGTGGTACCTGACTCTACATGACTCACGATGCTGCACGTTTGCGCGTGCGTCTGGCTTCGTGACACCTCCTTCAGTTCATGTGAGCGTCTTCGATAACGGAACAAACTCTAAAACTGCTTTGAAGTGAGCATCTGAAATCCCGGGTGCTGAGGACTTCTGCTGAGACACGACCACGCCAACCCCTTACTGTTTTTCGCGCACAACGGTACCTGCACATCTATGTACTATAGATTCTGTTTTTCTTCACCGGTGTGGGAATGAGGGATAGCCTATGTGCTGCTATATCTACATTGTGCCGCGGAAGTCATTCTCTGCTTCTGTTCCGATTGCGCGGTGCTTTGTATTAAAGAGCGTAATCAAAAGCGTAGCCTAACGGTATTCTGGTTTCTGTTCTTAATTCATGTATGCTGTGCTGTTTCTGTATTGTGTACCGAGCTGTTCATGTATCGCGGAAATACTTTTTTGTGCACATTCCACTGGGAATACTTCCACAAATTTTACTCTGCCAGCGTAGCAAAGGAAGCACTTGCACATTTCTGTATGATCCACTACACCGATACAAAGTTTTTCGTTGTATTATTTTGGACATTGGCTTCAATTTTTGTATTGGATGTACTTGTTCATCACTGATGCTGTGGATGTGGGAAAAGACTTATATCAGGCTGTTACCTTCAGTCACCATTTCTTCTTGGTGTGTGGAGTGTGTGGAGAAAAAAATTATTACTACGTAATCGTGGTTCTACGTATAGGTTTTTGAGACACAGCAGCGTGGCAAGCTTTCTGGTTCTGTTCCTGCTGCGGCTGCAAAAACTTGCGCGTAATAAAAATGATGTGCATGCGTACTTGCGCGGCGGAAGCGAATTAAGGACAGAATGCTCATTTCATCTATCAAATAACTAAATAGCGTATGCGTATCAAGTGTTCTACATAAGACGAAATGTGCTTACCCGTGCGTGTACATAGTTTCTCTATCATCTCTAAATGTTGCAGTCGCTGCGAATGTGCACCTCTCACGTGCACTGTTTCTCGTGTTTCCAGTGCAGCGCGTGAGAGCATGACTTTGTTCCGAATTGTGTGTGGAGGGTAAAACTTGGTTTTGTTTCTGCTTTTTCGTAAAACAAAGATATTCTTTACTGTAGAGTGTTATGTAATAGATGTTATGCTTTGAAATACTTATACCACTGACATTGTAAATACACCATGTTGATATGACGTGTTGAAATGGAATCAACAGTATGGCGCCCTAGCGCTGTTCGGTTGCAAGCGCTTGGCACAGAGGTATAGAGATAGAATGTATATCTGTTTAGTTGTTTGTATATACGAAATCATGTTTGTTGTTTTCCTTTTACCCAAGAAGTCAAGGCTTTATCCAACTCCGTCTCATTTAAAAGGTGCGAATAAACTCGCCTTCTGACGTGACACGAATAGGCAGGTTTCAGTCACAGTATTTTTTTTTTTGGATTTCAAACTATCTGCACCTGGAAATGACTCACTGAAGTGCTCATAAAACGACAAGTTGCGTAGCAGCTTAGGACAAGTAAAAAAAAATTGAAGGTGGGCATAATCTTTCACACAGGTGTGTGGTAGTGGTACTGGCACAAGGGCGTTTGTGTTCGCTGGAGTACGCTTAAAATATATTTAAGTAAAGTGCACTAGAACAAAGGAGTGCCCGAAAAGATGGCAGCCCCAATGTACTGAGAGTGTACCCCAAACAGGGTCACTCCACACGTGTTTCCACAATCGGTAGCCTGCATTGTGTCGTCGATCAGACGCGCGTGGACTCTGCCACAGTGGCAACTGTGTGCTTTTACAACTGCGCGTTCCAAACTCTAAAAGCATGGACTCATATTGTAGCTGGAGATGGTACGCAAAGGAATTCCACTGCAACTTCTTATAGCTACATTGTTTTGTCTCTGTTTCCTACAAGTAGTTATATCCTCGCTGAGCATTGTTAGAAAAAGTAACAAGAAAAAGAAGTCTCGTTTCCAGTGTCGTATTCAGCGAAATTCTTGAAGGCGATACTTCTTGTTCAGTGCCGTGTAGTCGTGCTCAAAATAGTTACACTCATTGCCAAGTTTCTTCTATTTCACTTCATATTTCGGTTGCGTTCTCCAGCAATGCGTAAGAACGGAAGCAAGTGTCAAGAAACGAAGGAAAAAATAAAGGTACAACAGGGAAATAAATAACAATTTTATAGCTTGTTTTTTTAATCATACGCACAATAATATTCAAAACTAATAGGACTAAAATTCCAAGGAAAGCGTAGGGGATGTTATAAGCAGTAAATGCATCGTAAATATGAAGAAATCAATTTGGATTGAAAGATGACTTTGTGCTGAAAACTCGTCTGCCTTATTCGGAGGTCACAAGCTAGGTTCCGAAAACCATCGCAGTTACCATTCTGTCCACTTTTATTTCTACGAAATTACATCAACTTTACTCCTAATAACATTTTCTATACCTCCCTTGGCATTAGTCTGTTAGTTATCAATAACCGCTATAAATATTGCCACTCAAAACAAAAAGCCACCATTTGTAGAGTTTTGATTGAAACACTGGTCTCTTGAGTCGGAAGCGGATGTTCTACCTCTGCACCACTTCGGCGAAGTCGCGCGAAACTCTCGGGCAACGACACACCGCCGTCAAGCGATCGCAGTGCCACAAGCGACTTGGCTCTCTTTGGCCTTAACTTTTCGAAGTTCGTTCCTAACATTCCCCTATCGTAGCGCACTCAACTTGTGGTTTCGTCACACTTCCAAAGCGTACTTCAGACTTCGCGCGGAAAGAAACGCGTGCTTGTGTTGTGCTGTGCCAGGTAGCGCAGCGATCCGAGATTCTCACACGGAAACGACCTGATCTCAGGATGCACCTATTCAAATATTGTTCATTTAATTTTCTGAAAGCTAACTGGTGCTTTTATTTGAGTGTAGTGATATGCTCGGACAACCTACGTATCCAATATAATTCTTAACTTCAGTTACAACTGTATATTCCTCGGCAGTTTATTTTTTCATTCACACTTTATAAATAGTCAGGAAATCGACCGGAAGTGCTGGAAAGCGAGAAAGAGCTGTCACTTGTTTTTCGAGCACCAATAAAAGAGGTAAAATTGGGAGCGGCTCAAGTGTCCTGAATAGCCTTCGAGAATGGATGACACCAAATGCAACAAGACATATGCACTTGAAATAGCTGAGCAAAAAAAAATTGCCTTGCATCTGACAAAACTTGAAGCTGGGTAACTTTCTTTGTTTCTGTTTACTTCTCGCTACTTCTTCGACCCCATCTGTCGTGATTGATCAGCTCTTCATTTTTTCTGTTTACTTCTATTTCTTCTTTTCTCTCTGTGTGCCTGTTTCTTTTTCTTGCATTTTCAATTTTCTCTTCCCTCTGTTTCTCGCAACCACTTTCGATCGTTCTCTCTCTCTTTGATTCCCCTTATTTTCTTCGTCCTTCTATTCTTTTTATTTCCTTTAGTTCTGTATATTGCTCAAGTGCCCTTCATTAGTATGCAACGTTTTACTCACTCCTTCTCACCCTCACTACCACCCACTCCCTCTTTGTCACACTGTATCATAAAAGGGCCCGCTATGCTTCTCTGCTTGCTTTTCTTGACAGCCGAGTGCTTACGACTCTCGTTTACAAATCGCGGGTTCAAATTTTGCGTCATCAAGAATGTTTTTCACCACGAATTTCTCTGTTTTCTTTCCTCTGCCTGTCTCTCTCTATTTTTCTTTCCAAGTGCTCGTTCTGCCACTCATCCGTCCCATCGCATCCCACGCCAGACAAATCGGCGCACTTGTTCAGCGATTGAAACTGAACTTATGAATGGAAGAACAAGTAGAGGAAGTACCGAATCACTATGCCGACACTTTGTGGCCGCTCTGCATGATGTAAAGGTCGGCTTATACAACTCCAGAATTGAAACATGATCTCAGAGATTTGTTCCGACAGGATCTGCTCGTACAGGTCATGGTTAAAAAGCAGCATCGCGTTTGTATGGTACGTATGGTGCATGAAATTTTATTCAATTCCCGAAGATCAACCCTTAGGTTGACACAGGCGGCTCTCACACTGCGTCAGTAAGGTCAAACCTAACCACTCTTTGTGTGACAAATCACTTGCCTTAAGTGTAATTCAGCTGTTAGTTCAAACATTAACCTGGTTCTGGTGATAAACCAAACATTTTGGCATGAAAAAGTTGATTACACTGAGTCATTAAGGTACAAGAAGGAAGCAGAGGGGTTCAGGAAAAAACTGGTGGTAAGATTTTAGTTAAAATTATGAAAAGAAATGGACATGGGCGGGCCACGTAGTGCACAGGCAATACAACAGCTAGTCATTATAGATAACAAACTACATTCCAAAAGATGGCAAACGGAAGGTGGGGGAAGGAGGAAATCAGGTGAGCAGATCAGATTAAGAAGTTGGCAGGGATAACGAGGCTACAGCAATCACAAGAACGGATTGATTGGCAGAGGATGGGAGAGGTTTTTGCCCTGAATTGTGTGAAGTCACACAGATGAATTTGAATAGCAGTATTCATAATAAAAGTAAGTATTTTTCAGCGCTTCCCAATAAAGCCTCGACAAGTGTCAATTAGAGTCATATTTCTAGTTACAATTTATATAGCTTCAATTCTAACGTAATATACGTGATAAAGCGGGAATTTATTGCCTCTGTTGTAGTCATTGCTAGTAAAGCTTATTCCAATGACATTGCTTAAGAATAAGAAAAAAAAACATGACAAGCGTTTTGCTACCACGCCGGGTGACATCAGTACGTGACTGAAGGACACCATAACAACAGGTGACGAGGAACGTTTCGAGACATAGTCTGAGTGTACGCCAGTTGGGTGGATTCGAGCAGCTCCAGTACTTACCAGGACGCCGGCAAACTTGCTGTAGGCACCGCTTGGCATTCGACATAACACCAAAGTATTGGATTACTGAGAATAGCCCATGTGTCATTATACCACGTTTGCGTTGCTTTCCTTTGCTATCCTAGATACGTGGTACGTACCCAGTTTAGGGGATTGGCCAAGAATGTAACGTAGAGACTGTTAAAAGTTATTTTAGGTAAGATACGAAATTTAAAACCAAAAATAAAGAAATAAAGTGGAAATTATACGTAAAGTATTCAATTTATCGACAAGTAATATGCTTTTGAGCCTGTATTCCAGACTGTCTTTATAATCTAATGGGAATAATTTTGAAAACTTAAGTTTTACCTTAACGAAATGAAGAAGAATTTTAAAAACCAGATTAAAATGGTACTCTTTCAGTATTTTTCAAGAAATTGCACCCGACAATAAATGCATCTTTGTGGCAGTATCCCAAGCCTGTGGCACCGAAGCGTAAAATATTTTCCTCCGATAAGGTCAAGCCTATTTTTGTAAAAAGAGTAATTAGAAATCGAGTTCTGATACGGGAACGTCTCGCACAGACAAAAAGTAATGTGCGATATTTTCCAGTTCTCCGCAGAATTGGCAGAGGGATGATATCGTAAGACCAGCCCTGCACCAGTAAAACTTTAATGGGGGGACACGACATCGAAATCTGGTGATCATCACTTCTGATTATCGAGAATGGCTCCACTGCGACATCCATGGATATTTTAGGTGATTATATTCCGTGGTTACTGCTTCCATCCTATCTGTGTTGATAGCTGATCTTCTAAACCTGATTGCGTTGAAGTTTTCTACCACCGGGAGAACCTGAATTATTGGGAGATCTAGCAATGAGCGGGCTAAGGCGTAGGCCATTTCATTTATTGTTAACCCACAGTGACCTGGTACTCATATTAATTTCAGGTACTTCAGCTGAGACGGAACTAAAGATTGTGGCGTCGGGATGCACGAGAGGTATGAGACGTTGTAAAAGCTGCGCATACCGAGAGTGAATCAGTAATTATTATTGCTCTGTTCTCATTCGAAATCTCTTCCCTTATACTTCTTTTTACCGCGACAGTGTTAAAAAACTTGTTTTACTGCCATTCCACTGTCAGCATCGGTGTCTATGTTTCCGAAGAAACAGTTGACGTTGCCCATCAACATAAATTTGATACGTCAGCAAAAAAAAGTAATAAAAATTACGTAGCTCAGTAGGTGGTACAAAGTACGTATTTGGTGACGTCATAACTTCATGTGACAATAGCCATAAAAAAGTACGCTGTCACAACTAGAGTAACAAACATTGGGCAGCGAAATCGTCTCTCTCGGTGAGAAGAGAAGGAGCATCTTCTAGAAATAACGTAATTAAAAGGAACGGCATGAATCGCTAACGAAAAAATCCGGCAGATTCCTCGTACCTAGGAATCGACGTAACGCGAAGCATGGGGGAGAAGGTGACTGCGTGCGTTTTTTTTATTGAGCGACGCTTCATGAAATGAAGCTAAATATATGTACCAATGTTTCAGCCACAGA